GGGGCGGGGGGGGCGGGAGCTCGGGGCGGGGGCGCAGCGGGGCGGCTCGGCTGGCACCGCGGTGAGCTCGGAGGTGGCGGCGCGTTGCTGTTCCTCCCGCTGCCGTTACCTCTGCGGGCCTCCCTCGCCCCGGGGGAAACGGAGTTGTTATTTCCCGTCGTTTCCATAGTAACTGTAGCCTCGCCCGGGAAGCCGAATCCTTGGACTAGGCCTGGCGCGCGCCTGGCTCTCCCTTGGGCTTTGCTGGCCGTCTCCCGCAGGGACGCAAAAGTGAGGGGCTTAGGGGATGAAAGGGAAACCTGGGTCGCATTATCTTGCCGTCATTCAATGAATGGACACTTAGTGTGTGTCAGGCCTTGGAGATACGGAAGATCACCTGCAGTCATTTGAGTGCCTGCCACGTGCCTAGCTTTAGGCAGGGGTGAGGGGTGGGGAGTAGGAAAGCGTTCATTGTCACAAGTCTACACGGATAAATAACTGTCCAAGAGCCCACATCCATGCCATCCGAGTAGATCGTTAGATCATTCTAGGGAGTAAGATAGGAGAGAGGAGTTTTGAGAACATAAGCAATCTCAGCAAATCGTTGCTTTGTCTAGTCCAGTCTGGGGCATATACATTATGGAACCAGGAAAATTCCCTTTAAAAAGTTGAAATCTTGCAGCTTATCTCTTCCAGTGTTCTCTTTATTCTTCCTAAGACCTTGCTACTATGTCCAAATTTCATTGCTGGGTGTTCCTAATTCATCATATATGAATAAAAATAATAATAACTACCTGTTAGGTCCCTGGAACTGAAAACCTAATTTTTATAAAGCCCCCACCCTTCGGTTTCATTTCTCTAAATTTCATTCTTCAAGGTCTCTGCCCCCGCGGCTGGCTGAGCAAGCTGTACCTAGAGTGTAACATTGTAACTGCTTCCCGCGGGTAGCCCAAGGTTCCTGTCTCCCCAAGTCTGTTCCCTTGAGCAGGCTATATCCGGAGAAGAACATTGTGACAGTCTTCCTAGGCTAGGCCAGACGCCAATCTTATCCCTGTAAGAATGACACTCTGCTGCCTCTAGGTGCTGACGCCAGTTTTTGGCTCAGCAGGGCAGGTCCGCTTGCGGCTTGCTAATAAAGTCTTTTCTTCCTTTACCTGGCTAGCGTCGCCTTCCTCAGTGACCTTACACTACCATTCATTGAACACTTAACCATGGATCAGGCATTATGTTAGGCACTTTACCTAGATTGTGTAATTTAATGTTCACAGTAATCTTCAGAGGTATATATTATTCTTTCAGATGAGGAAACTGAAGTGCAGAGAAACCAAAGAAATTTACCTCAGGTCACATACAAGGGTTTAAAGCCAGTTCTCTTATTCCAGAACCACCCTAACCACTGTGTCATACCAATGTGAAAGGTCAATGTGTGGGACATTGCAATCCGGGCAGAAATATTTTTATATAAGTCACATAATACGTTAATGTCTTGAAAGTTAACAGTTTTCAAAGGGAGACCAAAGAGGAAAGAACAATACAGACAGAAAATAGAAGAGGGAAATGTTGTGAGCTGCTTGTGGAGAATACACTGTTGAGGGGTGGATGGAGAAAATACCTGGGAAAATGTGTGTAGCGTAATCCTGCCAACGATGCCAATTGTGGAGCTAGGGCTGGGTCTGAAGCTCACAGACTCCTCGAGCCTGTTCACAAACCCTTCACACCCAGGTCGATGAGCTAGGTAACCAGCGAAAAAGTCCTTGGAGCCTTGGCTGAAGTAGGAATAGTCTTTATTGAGCACACATGTCTAGGACCTAGGCAGTACACACAGAGAAACTCAGAAACTCAACTGCTACTGGCAAAGTCCAAAGTAAAACTGAAACTGAGCAGCTGCCAGCAGAGTAAACATGTTCTATTTTTAGACGCTTAGCTGCCAGCTCTGCCTGCCAGCACTGCTTCACAAACTCTGGAACACACAAAAGCAATTAACTAAAAAGATACATTGGTGCACGTGTGCACTAACTCCACCCACACAACTTATTTACAAGAAATGTGAGGGAGCCTGACTAAATTATCCTGTTTTCCCCACAATACACATTTCTCTTCCTCATAGAATATGTTGAAATGTGGCAGAGAAACAGCAACAAAAAGTGTCATTATATTTGCAATCTCTCTCCCTGCTCCTTTTGCTTGCTGGATTGGTTTTAGAGTTCTTCCCTCTTGTGCAGAATCTCAAGACTGAGCAAAGGGGAAGGTTTAAGAAGCCAGAAAAGTTAGACAACCCTGATCAGGAACAGCTGAGGTAGAGTGAGAAGCCATTTAGAATGGATCCTGGGAAACCTTTGAGAGCACACACAGAAAGAGAGGGAGGAGAGAGTTTCGTTTTTAAGTTTCTAAGTGTGTGAAAGGCATTGAGAATGAGAGAGATGGCCAAAGAGATGGCTTAAAGAAGTTCTGCTGTGTGTTAAAAATAATACCACCAAGGCATGTGGTGTTTCTTCAATCGCCTGAGTAAATCTCTGAAATTATATTTCAATTATATTTTCCTGCCAAAATAATAATAATTTTTCACGTAATACTGTGCTAAAACCAGACCACATTGCACCCTTATAAGTGTTCTTCAGCCAATCCCCAAGTTCTATCAATTCTACCTCTCAAACATTTCTTGAATCCATTTGCTTATCTGCAAACCCATTTCCATTTTCCAAACTAAGAGCACAATCATCCCCTAAAAGGTTAACCCATTTCCAGCTTTGTTATTCTAGTATCCATTCTTCACAGAACAGCCAGCCTGAAAGATTGTTGGAGAAACCAACCTGCTGAATTCACTTTCCAGCTTAAAACTCTTCCAATGCTTAGCATTCTTCTTCAGGATGAAACCCAACATCATCAACATCAATTCCAAAGCCCTGAATACACTGCCCTCATTGCCTTCATTCCCATCTCTTCTCAACAACTCTTCATCAGAGATTTTACTGTGTTAGATAAAATTACGGGATATATGTGTTCACACATGGCTTCTGCCTTCAGTGATCCCTTAAAGAGAATATTGATAGACCTCCATTCCCAATAACATGGTGAACTAAATATCCTGATCACTCTCCTTCTAAAATAATCAAAAATGCTGAATTATTTGAAATGTCTAAATCTTTTTAAATGCATTGCCAATTTGGCAAGAATGGAAAGAATTCAAAAAAGCCAAAAACCAAGTGAAAACAGAAACCCTAGAAGGGTTAACTGAAATCAGCTTTAACCCTAAGAATACCTGCCCATGCCCTGGTGACCTGGACCTGTTGTTTTGATGGCTGAACAGGGAGGGAGGTACAAGAGACAAGTCTAGGGCCTCCCAGGGTGGAGAGTCTGAGAGGACTCCCCCATGTGAATATGGAACCTCAAAGAGTTAGACCATAAATGTAATTAATGGTTGAACAAGAAACTAATCCTCCTCACAGAGCAAGTACAGCAAGGAGATATACTTATTTTTACATTTGTGTTAACTGAAGAGGTGGGAGGGAAGGATCACAGAACTTCCCTGATGATTCATGATAACAACAGTTGACCAGGACAGCTATAAATCTCATTAACTCTGTCTTTGTGATCTAAAAACTGTGAGGCAAAGAATTAAATTTGAAATGATTCTGGGTTGGAAATGCTCTCAGATGACTGACAGAAACCAAGACAAATCTTACCTGGAGGAAAACAACTTGTATTCAATCTACAAATAATTTCC